GGGCTTGCCGTTATCTTGAGGAGCAGCAGCGTTGCAGGCGGGAGAGGATGCAGTGCCACGCGGACGACACGCAAGCAGGGGACGGGCCGGAGGCAGAGCAGGACGAAGCCCCTCTGCTTGCTCAGCAGCCCTCCTGCCACACAGGTAAATCCGCTCCTTGGGGAGCAGCAGGCTGATGCGCTGCCTCAGCAGGGCCTGAGAGCCAGCGATCTCAGGCTTCGATGTGTCCCCTCCATCCTTGGGCAAGTCTCCTTGCCTTCCTGCCCCTCCGCTCTCCTTCTGAAGACACAAACTGCCACCCCTGCAAAGGAGGAGGGCAGGAGCTCGGTGGTAGATGTATGGAGGGTACCTGGAAAGAGCCATTTGTTGCTGCAGTAAGGTGACTGCCTGACAACACGGATCTGTAGGAGGGGGTGGGAGTTAACCCGTGGCCTCTCTGACCAGCCCCGGTTTGTGGGCGCTCTCTCTCCACAGGGCCCTGCTCCGCTCGCTGTGGCCTGGCCCTGGTCCTGCACGTCTCTCTCTTCGTGGCGTACGTGCTCCGGGTCAGCCTCAGCATTGCCATCGTCGCCATGACTAACAGCAGCCAACAGCAGCCATCCCCACGGCTGGTCTGGCAGCGCTCCCCGCGGCTCCTACCCAGGATTTGCTCAGGCTGTAAGTGGAAAGCAGATGCAGATAACTGAAAGACACTTCCCGGGCTGAGTCCACTCTTGCTTTTGCATGAGGGTGGACTTGGAAGCAGCAAAGAAAAGCCTTGAGGATAAGGGGGGTGAAGGAGCAGAGATTTTCTAGGGCTGCGTTTTCTGGTTGCTTCTCCCCTTCTGGAGGAGTCTGTGCCTGAAAAATGGTGATCTCTCTGATGGACATGTCTCCTCCAGGCCCCCGTGTACAACTGGAGCGCTGAGACTCAAGGGATCATCCTCAGCTCCTTCTTCTACGGCTACAGCCTCACGCAGGTGCTGGGCGGGTACTGCTCAGGGCTGTTTGGGGGGAAACCTGTCCTGGGCAGCGGGCTGCTGCTCTCCTCCCTGCTCACTCTCCTTGTGCCCCGAGCAGCAGAGCTCGGTGTGAGCTTCCTCATCGGGATGCAGGCACTGCTGGGCTTGGCTGAGGTCAGTCGTGGCTCCAGGAGCTGCCAGGCTATGGAACCTGCTCTGGTTAGCCCCGGCTGCGCTCCCCGTGTCCCTTCACTCCACGCTCCCTGTTATCTTTGCAGGGAGTGATATTTCCAGCTCAGTACACACTCTGGGCAAAATGGGCCCCTCCACTGGAACGCAGCAGGCTCATGAACATCGCTGATGCTGGTAAGAGACAAGGACCTTTCCCT